CAGGAATCCAAAAGACTTCTAGGGATCATCCAAGTCAAATTATGCCTTTTGAGAGCTGACAGAAAAAGGAGTAGTTTTTCCACCATGAGCTGTGCTCACAGATCTTCCAGCACAAGTGAGAATGGAAGCAAATGTCCATAACTAATCACTGTTCTGTATGAGTATCCTCCCTCTTATATAGATGAAGTGACTGTAAACTGCTTCTCATTCAATTCTCCCAAATCTCCACCTTATTTAATACACCTTTTCCAAACAAATCTTAAAGTGGTTACATGCTACAGAGATGGAGAAAAAAAGAGAATCAACTCTCCTGCAGCACATGGGATAAGCCATTTTGGAACAGACTAAGCTAAGTGAATCCTCAGGTGGTTTATGGAAAAAGCGATAATCCCCTGGACCATTTCAGACAAACCATCTTTCCAGCTGATACTTCCTACTGCCCCTTCATGTTTCTTGAGGTTCACACATTTTACCAGACTTGTGCTCTGTTTACAGAGAACTTTGTGCTGACTTAGAGATCCAAAGAAGTTTGGGCCTTAACTTGGGAATACCTCTGAGTGAGGAAGAGCAACCCCAAGGGCAAGATGATCAAAACCTAGGATCTTACATTGCTGAGGATGTTGCGGTGCAGGGCTGTGCCATGAATGTTGGAGCTCTCAGTGTTCCACAGACGAATGGTGTTGTCAGAGGAGCAGGTGATGAAGGAACCAGGGGGGAGGCAAGACTGATTGTTGTCCTTCACCTCCGGATACATCTACGGGCAGGTAAAATCAACCCCTGAATGAGATTGCCTGCTAGACACCAGTAGCAAGTTTCAAAACAAAATGAAATCAAAGTGCTGTCCTCTCTTTTGTAAAGGTGAGAGCCAGCCACTTCTAATGAAAACCTGCTTGCAGACCAGAGCTTCATATTAATTTCAAACAAGTGCTCACTGAGCTTCCCTGAATGTAGAACATCTCCTTAAGAGACATGCAACAAGCCAGCATTCTTTGTTTCCAATAGCTGAGAGAATACCTCAAAGACCATGCAACAACAACCATGCAGCAACAGCCTTGCACTGTTGTTTGCAACTTTCAACTACTACTGCCCATTCATAATCCAGAAGGAAAGGGTGAGATGCAATTAGTAAATAATAACAAGGAGAGTCCTCAACCTCTTCCCATTTTCTTTCCACTTCCCCCTTTCCTGACCATCAGTGGACATATTTCAGCATATTAACAATTACGTTGTTTCCTGTACCTCCTTTCCTTCCCTCTAAGAGAAAGCCAACCAGACAGACTGGAAGACAATAGCCACTTGAGAGGCTAATCATGGATGTCCTGGTAAACTGAAGAAGGATCAGAGTTGAGATCTTACCACTTGATTCCCTCTTTTGACTTTGGAGCACTTGCTCACCACAGACCTTGAATAATTTCTTTTGAGGTCAGCAGTAAACTCCAGTGTGTTTTCTGAAAGGAGCCCCTGCATTCACCTTCGTGCAGTTCTGTTCCTTCTCCCACCTCTTGCTTTTCAATGGTAAGACTTTTTTTTTTCCCCAGTAACACACTGCATCTAACACATTTGGTCAGACATTGCAGTGCAGCCAAAGAACTGACCCAGCTCCACCTCAAGCCCCGTAGCAACCACACTAACCACAGAAGGAAATCTGAGCCAATTCTTTCTCTCTGCAGTAAGTGTCTGCATACAAATTCAGCAGCTCTGCAGATGACTTCCTCAGCTGCAACTGGAATCCAACACTTGTGTGTGCAGACAACATACCTCAATGTTCCACACGCAGGAAGAGTGGTACAAAGCAGAGTACACCTTGCCCACTTTCTTCGGGTCTTTGACATCCCACACATACAGGCTGTGGTCATTGTATACGCAGGAAAGCCACTGGTTGGTGGGGTCAAAAGTCAAGGCAATCGTGTCTGGATACTTCGCATCAGCCATACCAGAGAAAAGACGACTGCACAAAGAGAGAACAACAGCCTGGTTAGCCTGCACTTCCTTGGATTGGCAAGGAGTCAGGGCATGAGAGCTCAGATTGTCCACACTGATTGTCCAGGGCACTGGCAAGGTGACCAGTGCACTGTGGCATATATGGATAGAGAATAGCTGGCAGGGAAGACCTGTGTCTTGAACAACCAGAGTCCCAAGAGAAGCCTGAAAGTTCCATAGCTAAAGTCATTCTCCTTGCCATCCAACTCAAGACTCCCACCACAGACAGGCCATTGACTTACCCTGAAAAAGGACCAAACAGGACACTTGATCATCACTGGAGATCATAATCACTTACCCCTGCAAAACCAGGTGGCAAAACCCAAGTCAAATGATCTCAAAACAAAGGAGATGATCATCTTTTGGTACTATATTTTGCTTACTGATTGCAGGAACTGCTCTTGTGTGGGACCAAGCAGAAGAATAAGTCCCAGCACAAAGGACAAAGGAATGATTCATTTCAGCATCAGCTTCTCTGACATGCTTCCCTTCCACCCCTAACCCACACACAGCCAGCTTTGTGCTGCTTGCAGCAGCTGCAAGATGGGCAACTGCAGTACAGTCCTTTCCAGATAAGGAAACCCTCCAATGCAAACTAAAAACCAGAGGAGTTCTGCAGAGCAAGGAAACACCTCCTTCCCCAGGTAAGATCAAGAATGTGAACCCTGTATGTCCTCAACAGTGTGAAGTCCTCTGTGAAGTCCTGCTGCCATGCATGTAAAGAAGGAGCTGCTCTCCTGACCTGAGGCAAACACAACCACCCCTCAATACTACTAAAGATATCAAATAAGGGAATTACAGACAGAGTGCCAAGGTGTTGAGAGCAGGTAATTTAAAAGGACTGATAAAGGGCCATAGTGCATGTAGAACACCAGACAACTGGAGCCCTGCTTCTGCAAGTGCAAAGCTTTGAGGGCTAGAAGAGCACAGCCCAAACAAGTCCTTGATACAGCTGTGGGCAGTTCATTGCAGGCAACTGGCACCCTGCAGAGAGGCTCTGGCATGCACAGGAATATAAGGAGTCCTGTGTTTTCAAGCTTCTTTGAATTTTTAAGATTATTATTAAATAAATTATCAAGATTGCAATCAGTGCTACAAATGTACGTTCAAGACTCACATGTATATTTCTGCTCAACTGATGCATGAAAGCAGCAGAGAGTATTTTTAAAGGGTCCATGTATACAGTTGCTTGACTTCAGCACTACCAGAAACTGGTAACATTTTAAATTGGAGTTCCTTCTCCAGCTCCCTTAATGGAATATCATTATCTCCCACTGATCTTCTGGAGGAGGACTATACAGTGCACTGTTTGAACCTTTACCTCAAGTTCCCAAGGAAAGGCTAAAGAAAATCTGGTGGGGGATTGGGATTATATATCTGTAGATGTGGGAACTCCAGATATCCAGTGAAACAATGGCTGGTGGATTCCTACACCTTTGGATTTCATTCCTCAAAAGTGACAGGAGTGAAAGAGGGTAACAGAAGATTGGGAAAGCCTCAAACCAGAACTGACAAACAGCAACACATGAAGGATTTTCTCTAGCATAAGCCTCTGCAAGCTGGCAGACAAAACTGTATGGAAATCACATAATCCACCTCAGAAGGTGAGAAACAGAGAGCTAGGGCAGAAAATACTGGAGCAAGGTAGGAAAACCAGACAGCAGAATGTACAAGATTGAGGGAGAATAAAGACTACAGACAATAGGAGATTTAGGCCTACAAAAGACTGCAAGAGAGCCTGAGCTTCTCTTAGCAACATCATTATATTGCTACAGAGGAGAGGCTTCAGCTCTTACCAGTGATAAGCAAAGGATGTACCATGGTACAGGAACAACTGAAGTGTACCACAGCATCCTGTGCCCTCTGCCTACTTGTCCATAGCAACCAACATCAAAAGGCCACCAGACCCAAGCAATCCCAGGGAGATGAGGAGCAAGACATGCTGTGTAGTCCAGCAACCGGCTTTGGGCTGTAGCCCAGTCACACAATGCAACGCTGAAACAACTCACAGCTACAGGCTGGGAGGAAAAGAGATTC